GGGCTGCGGGGACGTGGGGGAGAGCAGGGGAGGGGGCAGAGAAACGCTGGGAATCGGCGGCGATCACCAGCGAGGTGGGGTGCCTGCTGGGTTAAGGAGCTGCTGTGAATAAATGAGATTTCAGAAGGGATTTGGCAGAACATATTTGACAGAAACAAAGGGCGATCAAGGTCAGAGCCGAAGAATCTCCAATGCAGCACAAACATGTTTCCATAAATATTAGATAGTGGCTGAGCGGGCTGGGGGTATCTCTGCTTATCGGTGGGACAATGCCTGGTACCTGGGTGCTATCCCCAGGTGGGGGGAGCCGGGAGCCCCTGCTTTGGGGGTACAGCACTGCCCGGAGCCCACCATCACTGCTCCAAAACCCCATAACTTTGTGTTCCTCCAAGCCTGGTCAAAGGCTGTGGCCATGCTGGGACATGCCAAAAAATCAGCCTGTTCTCCCATGGGGCTGCAACTGCCCTGCTCCTTTCCTGCCCTGCCGTGGCCGGGTGAAATTCAGGCAGAGCCATGTGGTTTTGAGTGGGGGAAGCATCGTTTCGGACATGTGGCAGCTGTTAGGAGCAAACGTTGGCTTTGTAGGAGGTGTATAGAGTTTGATTGGAGAGACTGGCAGCTGTCCCTGTGCCTGCAGCTTCCTGGTGCTTCTCACAATGAGAGATCTTTGTGACTGTTTTAAAGGCGCTCACGTTTCCTTGAGCCCCGTGGGATAATATTTTTCTGTTCACAGCAAGCTGGTGCAAGTGAAAAAAGGCTGCAGCCACAGCCTGGAAGTTCTTCATTTCAGTTTGTTGAAGTAGAAACAGATTATTTGAAAAATATTAAAAATCTTCAGTGGTGATAAGCATGTTCATGGTGTAAAAATGTCCCATTTCCAGTTACCTGTGGAACTGTTTATGCAGAAGGGAGAGAGTAACAGGTACATGGAGGTGAAATTTAGTAGCAAGGACAAGTACAACCCTGAAATTGCTCAAGAGTTAGGTGGTTGACTTTGCAGCTTGAATGGCTCTTTCCCAACGCTATGGGGCTTTGCTGTGGAACAGTAAAACAGCTCAGCAGTATCCCACCTGCCTGTCTCCGAAGTGGGAAATGGGAAAAAAAATAACCCCTTCCCAGAGCCAGGGTGTGCATGGCCGGGCTGTGGGGATGGCGTAGGGCTCCAGAGGAGAAGCATCCTCTCTGGTGCCCACCAGAAGACCTCAAGCGAGGTCATCCTGTGGGCAGGTTGCAAGATCAGACCCCTGACCAGCTCTCTTGGCTCCCCAGCTCCCATCCTTCCCAAGACCACTGCTCCCCATCCAACACAGCAGCGGTTCTTGTTCACAGCCTGAGCCGGAGTCCGTGGGAATGGCAGGAGTTTTCTCTTGGATAGCCCTGGGGACAGCCCGAGGAGGGCAGTCAAGATGCGCGGTGGTAGGCAACACAGTCGGACGTGGCTGTTACAGAGCCAG